GCAGTGACTGCGTGTCCAACGGTGAGCACTGGTGCCTCCTTGCCCCCTACCCAGAATGCCAGGGACCTCCGTAGGGCCACGGGGATACTTTCCAGCACCTTCTTCCAAAAGACACATGGTCAATGCAGGTGCGTTCTGCTGCCCAGCTGGGTCAGGAAGAGAAGGCGTTGCCACCCAAGATGAGCCCCGGATGGAAGACCACTTTCTTTCCTTTTACAACGACCCATTAGTTCTGTGGTCAGGGTCCCCCAAACCTGCTGCGGACCCCCAGCCTTCCCCCTGACACTGAGAAGTCGCCCCTCCTAGAAGTGATGCAAGGGGGGTGAGCAGTGGGGCGCGTGGTCGGAGTCCTCCAAACCGGGCATCTCCTGGCAGGGTGGGGGCGTGGGCAGTGCCTGGGCAGTCTCGATTCTGAGCCTCCTTGGTCATGCAGGAAACGCATAGGTGGCAAACGGCAGCCAAAGGGGTGTCCCCAGCCAGAGAGCGCGCAGAGGGGTGGGGCGGGTGGCCGAGGGACCGGAGTCCTGGCTCGGCTGGGTCTGGCATGACCGGCCCCGTCACCTGGGGAAGTAGTCCCCGGGCAGGCCCGTGAGGTTGCGGCCCCGCAGGGCGGCGTCCACCGTCTTGATGTAGGTGGAGATGGCCGCCTGCATGTCGGCCGTGTAGGGGTCGTACTCCAGCTTGCGCAGCCCCGAGCGCTTGAAGTTGCCGTCCTTCTGGCTCTCCACGCACAGCAGCCGGTCCTCGCGCGCCGCCACGCCCAGCAGGCGAACCATGCGGCTCAGCTGCACGAAGAGGTCCTGCTTCAGGTCCTCGAAGTGCACCACCAGCACCTTCTTGCCGAACTTCAGCCAGTCCAGCGCGTGGGTGGCCCACCACGGCGCATAGTTCCTCACGAACTCCGGCCACTCTGGAGGGGAGGGGGAGCAGGGAGAAAGGGGTCAGAGGGAGGGAGGGGTCAGAGGGCGGAAGGGGGTCAGAGGGGGGAGGAAAGAGTCAGAGGGAGGAGGGGGTCAGAGGGAGGAATAGGGTCAGAGGGTGGAAGGGGGTCAGAGGGTGGAAGGGGGTCAGAGGGTGGAAGGGGGTCAGAGGGAAGAGAGGGTCAGAGGGAGGGAGGAGGGGTCAGAGGGTAGAAGGGGGTCAGAAGGTGGAAGGGGGTCAGAGGGAGGAGTAGGGTCAGAGCAAAGAGGGACCCGAGGGAGGAGGGGTTGGAAAGACCCAGGTCAGATGGAGCAGGGATGGCTACCATTAGTTACAGTCATCACTGCATATTAATTATCCCATGAGGGCGCGCGTGTTCCTAAATGGCAGCAATGTAACGATTATATTGCATCGGTCACAGTATCAATAGCATAATCTGCTCCTTTGAGAGCCCACCCCTTTCTTTGGCGCATGTATCCGGCGTATACCACACTCTGCCACAC